ATTCCACTCTTAACACTATATGTATGTGAATATTGATTTCTGCTCTAAGTGAAGTTTGTGACTTAATGCGTGACTAATAGTACTATTTTGTGTTTAATTTAATCTCTTGATGATATATTGTCTGCTGCTTCTACTCAGATGATGATAGATTCAGTTCCATTTACTCAACTTCATGTTTCAGAATCAAAAGTTGAAAACGTAATAGTGATGGATTCACAATCAATCTTACGATAGAGATTGGAGATGCCAAGTGAATGGAAAAAAACGAACAAGGTGATAGATACAAGATGGTTGTTTGAGAAAGATAGTGGAAATCGTTATTGTGCAAAGTGTGTACATTTTGGAGAGATGCTTGATGGTAAACCTTACACGTTGGAGTTTCATATACTACATCGTTGTACTCTGGATTATGTCAGTAGAGTTCAATACATGCGCATTGTAGAGTATACACAATTCAACACAGTCTTCAATTGCATTGCAACTAGGTTTTGAATTAATACAAATAATCTTTTCATGACATCATCAACAACGTTTGACTAAATTTTTTAATCCTCTAATGAGTGTAGATGTACAAGAGAGTCATCATTTGTGATTTGTAGACTTTTTGGTCATCTCCAACAGTACTTTCAATGTATGTTGCAACAAAAAATTTGCGATGGTCATCCGTGATTACAATACCAGCTACACTGAAGAATGGTCTTGAACTCACTGCTACAAAAACGATACAGCAAGTGTTTATTGGAGTTAGAAAAACAATTGAAGGATGTCAACAATGTAACGATGGGAGAATGTCTCCAACAATTCAATTTACGCTGTGATGAGTATTATTAGTCTAAAACAATGAATTTTGAACATTGTGCATTTTAAAGTGCAACCAATCGCAAATGCATTGAAGCAATAGTCCATAATGCTCTTCTTCCATTTAAGCAGTTGTTGTTTTTATATCCAATTTTTTAACTATCATGATTAGATTAAGAAATAATCCGGCAAGATCAATTTTGAATATTGTTTCCTTGCGTTGTGCTCTTCATCAACTTAATCTGATCACGAAGGATATATTATCTCATGATATTATGTAGCAGGTTTTTAAAATATATTACAAATTGATTAAATTTTTTAAGTTTCTATTATTGGACAATACATATGTATTGTCCAAAGATGGATTTTGTTTCAAGACCTCGGTGAAAAGAATAACATTAGTAATAATCTGTCAAGTTTCAGCGAAATACGTTAGTATTTAGCTGTACTTGTATGTCTAAGTGGTGCATCCTAGCATAAAGGATTCCAACATTGGGTCAACAAATCAAAGCTAATCAATGAAACTTCCATCAATAAAAATATTTTTAAGCTGAAGGATGATTATCATTTTGCAATTAACAAAGAAATTTGTAAACTTATTAATTCATTGCTGATAGTATAGCTTGTCTTAAGCAAAGTTCAACTAACTTAGATCAGGTTCTTGCCAAACTCATCAAATTGTACACAATTGTGAAAGACACCGACGTTATCAAGAATTGCAGTATTATCAAACTTCTCATGATCAAGATCATTGGTAAGACAACTTCTAAAGTTGATCATCCAATTTATATTGTAGCTCTTTTTTTGACTTTTGAATATTAATTGATTTTCATCTCAAAAAAACACATACAACAACATTCAGAAAGATATTACAAATGCAAACCGAGACGGATACAATATCATTGCTAGCGAATTTGAACAATTACATCAATCAAAGGAGAATTTTCACAAACAATTCAAACAAAGATTTTGCGATGAATTTTTGACAAAATATGTTGTTGGTGCAAATGCTTTATGTGTCTTTGCAATGAAAATAATTTTTATTGCTCCTCATAATGCCGCAATGAAAAGATTGTTTTCACAGCTTTCACTATTTAAGACAAAAATTTGCAATCACATGTGGATGAAACGCATGAAGATGTTTGTCATCATTAGATCAAGTCTTAACCTACATTCAAAACCAAATTCAACTATTTTTCATCGTTAACACTAGAGTAAAAGAATACATTTAATACAGCACTTGAAGAGGATAAACAACTAAATATAATATGAACCCATGAATTGACTTTGGAAGATCTATAATTTATTTGTGAGTATGATGATGATTTTTATCAAGATTTTGATATATATTTTAATTTTGTTAGATACAAACAAGAGTCATCTCCACATTTCAATGAGCCAATAGTGGATATTCAAATAGAAATGATAGATGAGTAAGATTGGAATGCAGAGGATTTGTTATCTTGAAATGTAACCAAATGATTTGATTTAATTTTCAGAATTTTATTTTTATAGACTTACTAGAATAATACTTCGTATATACATACAGGCATGAAGCTTGTTGAAAGTCGCGATGGTCATGACTCGAGAAAATTCTTTATGACTCCTAGAACTTATTGAATCTTGCATCAAAATGTCACACATTGTCTCCACCGTAATCTACGAGGCGTCAAACATTTCTCGACTTCAACTTGTAGTTGAAAAGTTTCCGCTGTTGTGATTTCGAACTTTATCTTCTGCTTCTCACTCACCTTTCACTTCGAACTGTATACCCTTTAAACAAGAAAAGCAAAGATAATGCAAATATCCTGTGAAGTGATGATTTCATCTGATATTCCACTGTAGTCGTCTTTAACAATCACTAACGTAAATGACAAAACTGGAGCCCTGCATCGCCGGTGTTTGATTCTGGCCAGTGCTTACACCAACATGCAGTCACTAAGTCTTCCATCTAAGAATTAGTGACTGCTCTAGGATGCACATGAAATTCTTTAACATATTTTTATAGAGTCCATCACGTGGCAAGTGAAGAAGCAAAATCAAACGGGCTTTGTGCACTACCCAGCTGATTTGTGGAACTGTTTTGGAACTACTAGTCGACACACAATTGTAGAAAGCTCCCGTGATCAATTGACCCCTAACCTGCAGCAAGGTATCCACCCACGGACATCGAAAAGAAAGTGAGTGAAATCCCTCTTGATCAAGTTTCACACTACAAGATTAAGAAGAGGTCATTTCTGTATTGTATATCATTTCAAGATGACAATGTTATCAACACAGTACACGTGGAATATGTTTTATTATTACCAACACATATTCAGGATGTCTTACGGTCAGTGGTAGAGTTTATACAGTAAATAACTTCTAACCATTACCAAGTCTCATTGTCGACAACGGATGCAACTATGGTTTAGGGTCATTCTGATGTAACATACCATACATATGATGGTATCACATGTGGAAAATATCGTTGTACATCAATCTACATACCTCGCTACTTTGAATTAACCTATCCGCCTCACTTTCAAATGATCCTCAGTCTGTGACCATGTGTATAGTTTTTGATTTCATGATCGTCATGAAAATTTGAATAACATAATATGTGCATGGGGTGGAAATACTATAATCCGCTTCATACTATTACGGTTAACACAGTTTTTATGCCCCTACATCATAGTTATATTCCATACCAATTATCAAGCCTAATTGCTCTAGAGTTTGAATTTTTCATGATAAAGTAAATAAGTTCAGCGTTTTTAGCTTTTTTGATTAGACTATTTGGGACACACTTAAAGATGTTGAGCAATAAGAGTGTTGAGTGTTCAAAATGTGCGATAGAAAATTGATCAGTAAGTGAATCACAACAACAAATCACTGTGAAAAGATTATTAAGGGAAGTTGGGTTGGAAAAACATCAATACTACCGTTGGAGTATTTATACAAATTGATTACAAATTTGAATTGATACTTTTGTATCTTTTGATGTATTGGAAGGTGTTAAAAAAGTTGGATAGCTTCAATTGGAGGTTCGCTATACTTAAAGAGACTCATTTTATGTAAATAAATATCATAGACATGATTGTATCCAAAAAGAGACCCACGGAATAAAAAATGCGATGAAAAGAGTAAATGAGAGGACCACTACGAAAGTTACAAAGTTTCGTTTACTTTCCGTTTGGCACTACATGTTTTAGTACATAAACACATTGGAATTTTATTAACAAAAGGTTGATTTTGAAAATGACGACTGTAAACCTCGCAATACACATAACTCCTCGAACTCAAACTGTAAAGATTATATATCAAGTTTGAACTTTGATGCCATATTCGAAGGCATACAACACTTAGAAATGTGTGGTGCGAGGAGAGATTGACGGTGGCAGCGTTTACCAACAGTTGATCATATTTTGATATATATATATATATATATATATACTTACTGTATATCATATAAAGAGAATCTAAACGAGGTTAGATACCCGCTAAGGCAAGGGAAAAATTATGGCGTCGGTGCAAATGGAGTTCATGTAAGATTAACAAGAAAAGCAGAAAAAATAACATGCGAGGTTTTTTATTTAAATTCAAAGTTTCTGACATGTCCGCGGGTACTTAGATTCATCTGTCAATATAGTTTAGAATATCCAAATGAGAAGGAGTGAAACTCCCATATTTGTGATAACTCCTTGGCTGGGAGCTATTCACATCTGCACACATTGTACAAGAGGTTCAAGATTGATCAATTTCTCCTACGGATCTAATCACGAGTACTGAATTCTTTCTGTTGAAAAATGGTGACAGTTTAATGTACGAATTTGTAAACTAGTATTTTCGCATCTCATTTCACGCCATTTTAAATATTTTCTTACTTGTAATTAGGAACAATCGAAACAGAATAATCACTCATAGATATAAGCGTAACGTTCAATCCAAAACTCGTTCAGATCAAAATCCAAAAATCATGAACGGAAGCCTAAACCATTCCAGTTATAAATTATTTGTTAAAAAACATTTTCAAGCCCCCTATTGCCTTCCTTTTTGCGAAAAGACTCCTCAGAGGTTACTGCCACGTGGAACTTGGTTTCAGTGACGTCGGGGATGGAGACTCCCGCTCTTTATTCACTCGGTGGCAGTCTAACGCCGTCTGAAAGAGCACCGCGCGTTCCTGCGCGGTGTGAACGGGGTTCATGGTGATCGTCGTAACATGCGGCGCCCATTTTAAATTAAAATACGCGCCGCAAGCTCTTAATTTAAATTTTAAATGAAAATTTTTAATATGATTGTGCGCAGCACAGCTCTGGATTCGCGTAATGGCAACGATGGAAGCTGCAGCAGCAGCAGCAGCTCGTCGCCCGTCGCCCGCATGAGCAGGCATGACTCCACGTCCTGAAAGAGCTCCAGGCAGATTGAACTGGAATCGTTCGTGGCGACTGCGCTGCGGGAAGCCCGAAATACATTCTTTCGAAGGATTCTTTTGGAAGCCGAGAGTTCCCGCCATTTTTTCCCGATGCTTGGTCGGTGGGAAAATTGAAGATTCTCATGCGGGCCGATCGCTGAGCAGTGAAGAAGGAGGAGCATGGAGCCCGCTGGCGCTGGGGCGAGAGACGAGGAAGACTTGGTAGATGGTGGAATCGGGGATGTGGACGGTCTCGATGATGTTGGAGCGGACGAGCTGAGAAGTGATGTAGATTTGCTTCTCAGAGTATGGCAGAATGAGAAATGCGCCCCTGAGATTCTCCCGTATGAGGCGACTCTTGTGGAGCGAGTCCGAGAGCAGATTCAGCTCATGGTACTCTTTTTCCCCCCAATGTGTCTGATGCCCAAGCAGTCGTGATAGGATGCGGTCGTCTTAGATATTGGCGAGCGACATGGTCTTACGAGACATGAACTATGCTGTGACTGCTTTCACCGAATTAAGTCTACTCTGCAAAGCTTTTTCCCCTCTGGCGTTGCCTTCGATCACATGTCTCCAGTTTTTGTTCATTTTTTTAAAAATGATGAATTCTACGCTGTACGGTTCCGGTTTTGGTAACGATGCCTGATGATCACTGGAGATATGTGACTGACGACCTAGGCTGGCGTTTAGGATCGCTGAAGTTCACGCTGAATTGTCACAGCTCGCAATGTCGTTAATACGTAACGCTGCGGGATCGTACACACAATTCACATCATATACCTGCCCCTTGGGAAATGCTTATTTCATTCCCTTTTGGTCGTGCAAGGGATGATTGTGTGAAGTTCACCATCTATCTTGATAAAGCTGTGGCTTATGGACAGATATCTACACGGCCTTACATTCATGTGCTTGACTGTGCTTGACAAACTGCCCAGGAGGAAAATATAGAAGCGTTTGCGACCGAGATCAAAGACGACTTGATGCTTTCATTGTACCGTATGGATGTAAACCGTACTCTTTTTCTGCTGAGATCATATCTCCGTGCGCGCCTGCACAAGGTAAAATCCTCAACACACATTTTAAGTTGCTTTGTGGTGCAGTTTCTCTGCATTCTTTGCATGAATCCAGGCGAATTACGACAAAGGCTCCAGTACGTAATAATAAGGCACTCAAAGTAATATCAAGCAGGAAAGAACGAAAGATTTGGAGTTCATTTTAGCAAAAGAGAACCAAAGAAGTTTCCCAATTTGAACAGAAAATGCTATGTTCTAGCAAGGAGCGGAAGGAAATAAAGGAAGAGCAAATGTTGTTTGACAAGAAGAAAATCAACATCTTGGACAGCTTCAGTGATAGCAAGGTAGCATTGTTGACTGGAGTCATAACGTGGCGCTGATCACAGATTGAGAGGTTTCCTATACATATTGTCGACAATCCAGAGCTCTGGGATAGACTCTCCGAACACGAGCAGGAGTACACCAATAAGTAAGTCACTTTTTTTCCAATGTGGGTATCACGTTGCCACTAACTTCCATCTCTCTGTTGATGGAAGTTAGCACGATACATAGGCCTCTAATATTACCTTTACAAGCACAATCTCCCTGGACTTCCTGGCCCGAATCATCAGACTTTTAGCAGTACATGTACATTATCAATGCTATCAAGGTAGACTGGTTCTTATTTTTGACAGGACGGAAAACTGATTTGCAGGTATTGTGAAATCCTTGCCAAGCACTTTGAGAAAACTGTACTCATCAGATTACCCGACCAGTACGGCTCGATGCTCAAGCAAACGAGTTTGGCGAGTGAGGAGAACGACATGAGTATCCTACACTCACAAAAGAATGATTTGTTAATAGTGTTATGTACATGGCTGATATTACAACTCCATAGACACGTTTTGGAAACTGTCTCATCACTCTATATTCAGCCTCTTCACTTTATTAAAAGCGAAGAGCACTCTCTTTTGTTTAAAGAGAAAACCACTAACTTTTGTTAAAAGTCAGTGCTACTCCTGCAATATTTCGTGTATGAAGGATATACCCTTTCACTTTTATCTCTCTCTGTGCTGTTCACACCTTATCTGTTTTCAGTCTTCGAATACTCTTTGCCTTCTATTTTCCTAGATTAACAGAGAACCGTGCTGAAAACCCAAATGGATCGAAAACGTTCGTTTTTTTCTCACAGCGAAAGTGTCTGAGAGAGCTGCCTTTAATAATTGTTGCGGGAACTCTCGGCCACCAGAAAGCCTAGTACTGGTAGTAAAGCTTGGTTTGCCTTTGGTGTTTTGTTTTCCCATGTGTGAACCTTGTAACAATCAGATTGACAGTTACCCGCAGAAGTGTGATATAAAGAGTTGGATATAGTAATTTCCCTTTCATTTCGTGAATATTCGCCTTCGTCAATCATAGTCAGTATCTGGATACTCCGTAACCAAATCACCCATGTGAAACTCAAGCTCTACAGAAGTATGTTCAAATCATTGGTACAGTTTTGCCATTTTGACCACCGACTTGGAATTTTCAAAGCCACCTGTTACGAAATTATTCTTGTGAAAGCCCCCTTTCAGCTTCTGGAAGTTGGTGTGATAACACACAATGAATGTACTTTGGGCTCACGAGGTGCACTGTCCTGTACTTCTTTGCGCTCAAAACTATTCTTGTGTCCCAAACTCAGGATGGCGCTTCATTTGCTTCGTTAACTGAAGGCGTGTGTCAATAAGCACGCCTGGTATATTCAGTATGTATATTTATATTCGAAGTTACTTTTTACTGTTTACATCCGTTTGTTGATTATACCACACTGAGCCTCTCTCATTAATGACCACGTTGGTCGTTTCATACACACCTAAGTATATACCTGCGGTATGTAGCCTTCACGCCTTAAAAAGCGAAGTGCCGGATATAGTATATTCCTCTTCTTCTGCAAGATCGCCGTTCTACTATACTGGAGGGTTCATATCCAACAAAATTGCTACAATGAATGTGGCCCTTGAGCAAATCGATCATTGTAGCAAATTTCGATGGCAGTATCTGTGAGTTTCAGTGCAGAAGTTTCTAGTGAGCATCAGCAGTCGATTTTGTACCCAACCGATTGTAAGATTAGGTGATTAGAAAAATTTGTAAGTAAGCAGAAAGAGAGTTCTTTCTCAAGACGTTCTTTGGTAGTATTTGAACGCGATGTTTTCGCCATGCTTCTTACATCCGTGTTTCGTCTCGAAGATTCCTTGGACTAGGTCATGCTTGAGGTAGAAATTTACGCGTTTCTTTTGGTCTGTTTTCTGGTCCTGTGTCAGTTGTATAAATGTCCCACCAGTGAAACGAGCAAATTTTTGAAATAAAGCGTATTGACTGCTTCGACGCTTTGAGTTAGTTCCTCCACTGATGTGATCTTTCCAGACAACTTTGCGGTTGTGTGTCCTTGACGTATACATTTACAGTTACCCAACCCCAGTTGAATACGTTCGTGTTCTGCAGGAGCAGAGGAGCAATCGGTTCTTTCCAACTGGACGACAAGTGAGTCCATTAGAACTCCATTTGATATACAGTTATAGGTTCTTATGAGTAAAAAATGTCCAAACCTCTTATTTCTCTCCTTTTGCACTTGTAAAGGATTTCTGAAGCTGTTGTGTTCAGTTTCAGTCTCGCGAAACTGCAAGAATTACATTTGAAGTCTTTCTGTTCTGTTTTCTGTGCCAAAGTTTTGCTCCATACTTAGCACTTTTGAGATCATCACTGATCGTAGCATTCCTAGATAGCTGAAGTCAACGTTATCTTCTTTGAGGTTCATAGAAGCGATTAAAAATTATGTTGTTGGTCAAACCTCCTCTCTTACTAATTTATTAATCGCACAAATCACTTGCAGCTACTGTTAACCTTCTGTAGTCATGGAGACGTATCTTGGATCACAAGAAAATTCATTCACTTAGATAGAAGTGGTCGGTCTGAAGAGCCTGTGGGGCTTTCTAGAGTTGGTTTATGCCCAACATTCAGTCACATCTTAGAATGCCAAGTTCTATAATCTCAGCATTGAATCTACTTCACTCCATATTAACCAAATGTCATCTCTTTGTAAGTTCACGAAGTCGACCTACAGTGGATTGTACTCTTTAGATTAAGTAAACGTGTAGATTTAAGTGTGACCTTTTGGCATGGTTACCGCTGATGCGTGTGCTGAGTTTGTCTGTATCCTTGCTTAGACGTATTTACAACAGACTGTTTTTTTTTTTCCTTTTCTGACTTCAACCAAGAAACTTCAATTTCTTTCGCTTGTCGATGGCTGCGGTACGCCCGCGCACCGCTGCTTATGTTGATTTATACATATCAGTTTCAGCCCTTCTACCTTCTAGGCCTTTGCTCGTAGTTGCTTGGATGCTGGTAAACCAAGACAGCATGTGGAGTGTCCGCTCGATTTACTGTTTGAGCCCAAGTTGATGAAGTTGTATTTTTTGACATAATCTGTCTAATCAAAACTCGTCACAATAACACGACCATTCTTTTCAGGTCTGCTTTTACCTGTCTGTCTTAGTCTGTTGCTTGGAACTTTGTTGATGCATCAACTCTGTAGATCAAGGACCTATCATATTCCGGTTAGGACCGGCAAATAGCCATGTACATATTCAACCATACACATGTAACGTTTATTTGGAGGAACTGTGTCAAATTTCTGAAAACTCCGCCGTTTGTCGTCAACAAGTAGACGCCTGTCCTACGAAGGAAATCACCTGTAAATATCTGATTAGATTTGTGCCTTGTAAAGACACTGGTTTTTAACTCCATTAGAAGCGAGGTATTAGCGTGTATTTGACTACTGTGTTTTGCGTTGACTTAGGGGCGATGAAGCAGTCGACCTAATGACAGACGATCTGTACATATTGAGGTACAAACCTGTCAGGAAGCTTTTGGTAACAGATAAAATAGAGTTGATATAGATTGTGATTGCATATCTTGCGATCATCAGTGGGGTTTTATCAACTGTTCTTCGAATACGGCTGTCCGTGGTAAAGCTATTACCTTACAACGAGAAAGCTAGCAAGGTACAAGGAACGGCTGGAAACCGTTCACTGCCTCTCGGGTGGAATCTGCCAGCATTTCTGAAAAGTGTTCATGGACGCTTGGCCCTTACCAGTGGTTTGCTTTTGTGGTTATAGTAGAGTTTCGTTAGACTGTGCAAGCTATTCGACTGATGAGTGTAATGGGTATTCTAAGCAGTTATATAAACCGGTGGTTGTATACGAATAATTCAGTGAGCATAAATGCAACACCTGGAATGGTCATGCCGTGTGCTGTATATGACTTAGCGCACTTAGAAATTCAAAGTTCCAGGCGAGTCATCTTCGCACTAAAGAAGAAAGTGCGTTGTGAAATAAAGTCTCGTCAGAGTTTATTCAAATTTTTTGGCATTCAGTTTTATCTCTGCCTGGCCTCGGTCCGCAGCACTATGTGGTGCTGCACGAGTTCGTGGGTATGATCAACGCAATTAGGAATTGTACGACCAATGTCTGGGTATCCGGGTTTCTTTTGTCGGCTTGTGTTTTTCAAGGTTTACGAACTCCCAGCTGGTGGAGAAAACTGCATGAAGTCAAAGGTCCGTGTTTGATCGTTCAGTCGCAGGTTCCGTTACCTCCTGTTGTATATTTAGCCTTGAGCTGGCAGGCGTAGGCCAGTAATTGCCCCAGGCTGCGCTGCATTTTATTCAGCTCTACACCGTTGACTTGAGAGAAGGTTTAACGGGGAAATACCATTTTCCCTGACGTAGACTTTGATTTTCCGCTGTCGTACTCTTGAAACGGAAGAAGCTTCATGAAAGAAGTGCCCTGGATAGACACCGTTGTCGTTGGGTAGCGGGAACTGCAACCGTGGGTCATCTCTCTCACTTGAGTGCTGAACAGTTCGTAGAAAATGTTGGATGAATATTGATTATCAATCTTACTTTCTCTTGACTTTACTTTGGCATTTATAAATATTCGGGACCGCAGCTGCAACTCTTGCTGTGGTCCCCATGTGCGGTTGAATTCGGTAGTAGACATTTCCACACTCGGTTCCCGTATAGGGGGTTATTAACGCAGCTCTGATAGTGGTTATAGCTGGCCGGAGCCTTGAACGGTGGGAGTTGACCTTCTGCGAGAACCTGAGCCTGGATCACCAGGTTCTGTTACCCGAGATGAGCCTCGGGATTTTTCCAGCTTAGAACTTCGAGATTCATGACGGGTGAAAAGCAAGCCAGCTGAGGTTGCGCTCAGCTCTCCTCGCTCCCGCTCCGGAGGGCAAGTCATCGAGATCATTGACCACGTTGTGCCCGGTGCGGTGCTGGGCAGGGCAGGGCAGTCCCGGAAGCGAGACTGGATGATGACAGGCAATCCGGATCCACGAAGGGCTCAAGGACCCGAATGGCTCCAACAATGCGCTTTGCCGGATTGACATGCCACCGCCCAGGATGCGGCCAAGATGATTGGCTTTTTGCATGGCTCGGGTCCAGAATCCAAACTGGGCTGGGGAGGGCGCATGATGGCCGACGTCCTGAGCCTTATTAGCAATCACCAGAGCCTGTCAGGGTTTGCTTCACTTGATTCGGATTGTCTAAGTCGGAACTTACTTACTTGCATGCATGATGGGTCGAGTCCAGGGCAGATTTGGCACCCCAAAATATCAAGAGCGACGAATTACCGGTGGAGACATATCAGAAGCGAGCACGATGGTGACGAGAACTGGTTTACACCGATGTAGGGCCCTAATGAGAGGATAAGCTCAGGCGAGGAGTGTGGCGCAAATGGTTAAGAGAAAAAAAGGCCGCCTAGCTCGGAAAGGCAAGGGAGCCCGAGTCCCGACTCGATGTGGTCTGGGCATGATCGGCGCACTTCGCATCTTCTGCTCGTATAGAAAAGTAGTATCGAAAAGTAGCGCAGCGAAAGTACAGTTTGACTTGGTCTTTGACTGGCTAATCGTGGACAGGAGTGGCCTACTGTGACTATGTATTTCGGGCGTGTTTGGAGGAGCAGCCAGCCCCGAATCCAGCCATGCCTTCGGTGGCCCTCCAAACGCTGAGAGAGCGGAACTAACGAAGGAAGGAAAGGAAAGGAAAGGAAAGCAGATGACTGAACCGCAATCAAATGTGAGTGTGAGTGTGTGTATGTGTGCCTTGTGTTCTCTCTCGAACTCAACGCAGCTCGAGAAAAAAAAATTAAAGCGACCATCAAGGGATTCTCCTTCCGCCTATCTTTCTCCCACATGACTTTCCTCCTTCCCTTCCTTCCCTCCATGTTTATTCTGGAAACGGAGGTGAAACCGTGACTCGACAAGCCGGATTTTACCGTGTCTGGACTATATCAAATTCTTTTCGTGAAGGGCCCTCGATGATGTTGTGACTAATTCTAACAAGGAATGAGCCAGAGAGCATCAATTGCTTACCCCTCCCAGTAGAACGCGCCTTCAAGGGATAGCACCGAACCTCCGACGAATGAATCGATAGAGTTCGATCGCCGAGTAATTAGTTGCCTCATGTTCTCGAGAATCCAAGGATGGCTCTTTGCAGCGTCCACTAATTTAGCAGCAAGGACTTTCGATCGCGCTGCCAAACAGAACCTACCAGGAAAGTACCGAAAGCAAGTATTTACAATACAATCTTGGCGTTATTACATTTTATTTTATATTTAAGCTTCGTTCACCAAATGAACGTTTATATTTATTCCAATTGAGTTTTGGAAGGTTTAGTACATGTCTACAGAGAAAAGTGCTCAGTCAGGCCGCAGGCCTTTTCAACTAAGACCAAAAGCAAAAACCCATTTGGTGCTAAAGATAATTGGTGTGAGTCTTGGTTTGAGATGCTTGTTTGAGATGAGATGTTTGATCCATGCACTTACTATTACACTCATAAAATTATGATTTGATTGGAAGATATACTTTCATGTATCATGAATTTAGATATCAAACCTCTGATTTGATAATTTTCCGATAAAGAATTTAATTATCCATGATCTGACCATATACAACGTGTTTTTTAATGTAGGAATTCTTAAAACCAGCACCCGAAAAAATGAAAAAATACAATATCAACACTATAGTAAGACTATCGTTCCAAGCAGTTGGTGGTCACCCACATTTGCAAGAGGATATATATTGGTAAACTTTGATGTAGTGCGAATGGAGTGACCATAATTATAGATGGTATGGTACATACAATGACACGGTTCATTAGTTTTTAAATTTTATCGAGTTACATAGAATTAAGGACTCGAAGTTGAGGATGTTTGTAAGAGAATATAAACTCTTTTTTAAATGGGTATTATTCTTTCTACCTCATTTCTAAACCTGTATTATGATAGTGTTTTCATTGTTTTGAAAAAAACATTGGCTCGTGGTTACCGTAAGGAAAGTGACCAGAAAAATTACAATCTTAGATAAATTACATATTCTTTAGGTTAATGCATATCATATTTGAAGGAACATGTTTCCATTTTTCTACATAAAATACTACGTAAATAAATTTTTAAATATCGACTACGTTATGAAATGTTCATGATATTTGGATCTTTTGATGTATTAACATATTTCCCGTTGTTCTGCTATTGTTAACTAGTTTGGTTTCGTAATATACTTTTTTGCTATACTACTAGGTCCCCGAATGACTAGCAAATGCCTCATCCATTATTCACACTAGGGTGGTGCTCTACATGACAGTCTTCCATGCTTTTGAAATCAATGATCTTGGCATCTATTTGTTACTCATTCCTTCTTTCAGGGAGAGTTGAGCTTACTCACGAATGTGGTTTTAATGTTAGGCTCCCACACTCAATCCTAAGATCAACGTTGCATCCAATGTCTTCTTTAATTTCATGAGCTTGAAGAATACATTCACTTCTTCAGGAAACAAAAACTCTCAACTAAGACTACGCGTATCACCCGTTTTTGGCTGAAAATGTCTATGTCCGATGGATAATACTAACTGTGTTCGTAGTCCATCTCTACCAGTACACATGTTGGTGCTGGGGAGTCTATTATGACTCTATCTCTTACAGTCAACGACCTTCAACGAATCCAAGGTCAGAGCTTGGTCGATTTGGCCATAGAGGAATCTAGTTCTGTTTAGACAAAGTTTAGGTCATGTAGTCTTATGCACGACATTTCGTAGGCAATGTCTAAGCAGCTCTATTTGCTACTCTAAAGGTCTTGAAATATATATACATATACAAAAACAATACATATATACGGAGGTGACCCCCTTGTAGCTTCGAGCTTGCTACTACTTGAACCTTGTCGTTCGAGCTTTTGAAGCAAAGAACTCTAGATCGTTTGACACACCTCTAGGAACATTTTATTTTGGGATTTATTTATGCCTAAACTGAATGACTGTGTAGAAAAAGTACTTGGCCCAGGAAACACAAGCGAATAGTTGTCACAGAGACTGATAGATAGTTCTCACCAAATCCACGTTTTCTAGCTAGTGTTCAATTACGAACGAGTCAAGGCTGTCTAAAGTATGGTAGCAAATCCGTCGCCATAGTGCCACCTCATGGCCCGAATAATCTGTCCCGTGAGGGGCTGGATCGGATACTTCCTGAACTACGCGTAGCGTAACGTAACTTCACATTCAGCGCACAACCATCGAAGGTTCCAGGTCCTGAATATCGCCGCTTCACATTTTCCAGCATGCGACACTGGATTCTGTGTACGGTGCTGCATCGGATGGGATGCGCATGTGAAATTTGTCTCCCAAAAGAGCATCGAGCTTGAGAAGACGCGAAAGTGAGCCGCAATCCTTCTCATTCTTCTTATTTCTCCACCCTCGTACCGGTGGGAACTAGACAATCTCTTCCTCTTCCAGGTCTTGTGATTTCAGGCCACGGAGAGCTCACGAAGTGAAATTGTAAACAAGCAATTGACAATTGGGTGTAAAGTGTATAGAAGTATTTGGGGGTGGGGGGTATAACTAAGATATGATAAGAGCGAGTTTTTGACTCTTGTCTTGATCATGTTGACACCTGTGATTGCTTGTAACTGATTGAGGAACAGAAGAGAAGAGGGGAGGAGAGGAGAAGACAGAGCAAAACAAACAAACGAACAGAAATGTTTAGAAATGTTATTTATGTATGTACGTACGTCTGAAGGCAAGGGAAGGGAAAGGCTGACTGACACCCATGGTCAAAGGCATGAGCCAGAATCTATTGACCGATTACGGTTGTGACGAGTTGCATAGCACTACGACTACTACTACTACCAGTACTACTCGTGTCTCTAAAAGCCACCGCTCGAAATAATCGGATCTGAAAGCAGCACCAGGAAAGTCAAGGGAATGATGAAATCTCGCAGTTAGGTACGACACGGTACATGCTAAGGGAAGAGACAAAGGAAGGGATTCCCAGAAATGGAAGGACCGAGGGCTTGCTTGCTGGCTGCACTGACGGA